TTTCGTTAGGGCAGGAATACGTTCCAGTGTCCGGCCCGTGGATTTCCAGCCGAAAAGGAGTTAGCTAACAATGGTTACCAGGCTCCCTGCCCGTCACTTCCTCCCCCAAGTCCTACTCCTTTTTACTCACGTCAGAATCTTTTCATTCGGCAAAAGTTTTTGCAGAACCGGATGGATGCATCCGGACCGTGTGTTCTAGGGGCAGACCAACACTGTACGGCGTAACCCACCTCCTTCAGAAACAAACAGCCTTTCCCCTCAAACTTTTTGTTCTAAATACCAGATCCCTGCTTAATAAGATGCCTTTGCTTCAGACTCTGGTGTTCGTCCATTGTCCAGATATCGTTTTAGTAACTGAGACATGGGCATCAGCTTCCGTAGCTGATTCCGAACTCTCTCTTCTAGGCTATGCCTGCACTTGGAGTGATCGTCAGGACAGCCTTGGTGGGGGCAGTTGCGTCGACGTTAAGCAAACGCTAACATTTCTACCGCTGGAACTCTCGCATTTTTCCGCGGTCGAAGGCAGCTGCTGGCCTCAGTTTGCACTAAAAAATAAGTTCTCCTTACACGTTGTCTATGTCTATCGCCCTCCCAGCGCCAATGAGAATTTTGGTCATTTACTCTCACAGGCATTTCATGCTGCGGCCGACTTAAGCTTTAAGCATCAATTGGTTGAGGGTGACTTCAATCTTCCTGAAGTCCGCTGGTCTCCGCCTTCCGGCCCCAGAAGGTTCGAAGACTTTCTTGAGGCTGTGAATGTTGGGATGTGGAGTATTCGTAGGCCACGAAAGAATAAAAAAATAAACCGCACATTTCATTGTCAAGTATGTTACTAGGATAATAGAGGACTACTAGCCGAGAAATCGGTTGTCCTCAAAAAGAATCCCAGATAACACTGAAGGATGAGGTAACTCCATAATTTTTCAGTTTTTATTTAATCAATAGTATGCGAAGGGTGAGTCTGTTCTCCATCTTGGCTTGGCAGGTTTAAGCGTCTTCTTAGGTTCTTCAATAACATTTCACTAACAAATAAGTGGGTGTGTCTAGCTTTTAAAGCCATTGATGCCAGTTGTGAAAAGAAAGAATGGCTGATTGTGCCACGTTACTGCGATGTTATTGGAGCTGTTGTGGTTTGGTTTTTGCTCCAGTCATATGGGCACAAAAGCAGAACTGAAATCTTGAATTCGCGCTAATACGTTTAGGAATGCTTTCAAAACCAAACTTTCAGGTATGGAACGGAAAATAGGGAAGGGATTAATGCTTTTAATTCTATTTGAGTCTTAGCGCTCGTTTATGCAAGTTGCACTCTAGCGCAAATGTCCGGTTTGGTTTTTATTTAAATGCTTTTTACGGGCCTATAGTACTACCTACCCCTCCAGATCCTTGTCATTAGATCCCTCTTAGTCGTAATTCTCTGTTACAGAACGGGCTAAAATAATGGCAGATTTTCTTCAAGAACACGCGTCTATCGAAAGTCATCGAGGATTGCTGCCCTACAAACACCTAGTCACGTTCAGAAGGCTAAAGCGATAGCGGACATCCAAAGTCCGGTGGAAAAGGTTTACTTTTAAGCAAATATGCTGTACTGTCTTCGAAGGCATAGCAACAGCAGAAGTCAAAAAACAAACCATACAACATAGTGACTGACGTTTCTTGCTAAGTAGTTTTGGGACGAAGAATATTCTGCCCTTTAAGGACCTTGGAGAATGTTAACTTCAGCCAGACGTAGAATCGGCTGCAAATATACACATTTGCTTTTTCGTTTACTGTCAGAGCATCACTTTTAAAAATTCATGTGCATCGTACATGTGTGTCGTCAGGTTGTTTAATAAAAGTTAGTTGGACTGGTAGCTGAGAAAAATGGGTATGGATTAAGATCAGGAAACGGTTAATGGTTGATATCTTTCAAAGGGGACAAAGAATGTATTGTATCAGCCAGCATATCTCCTCTGATAATACGACAATGTACGCAGGTTGGTTGGTGTCTTATCTAGTCTTATGGGCAACTAATCTGTGAAGATTTATTGGAGATATATCAGTATTCATTCCTGTAAAATTTTTGGTGTCTGATTGGCCACCTAGTGGAAACGAGGGAAAAGAAAATAGGGAATGTCTGTGTTTATAGCGCATTTATGTGATTTTTCAGTTCGTCGTATATTTCGACGCTTTTGGTTAACAATTCAATGTTGTTCCGATGGCTGACGTCAACAGATCCCCTTCGGCTCAAATTCTTTGTTAAAGAACTGACTTGAAAGTGTCTTATCTTATTGGGAAATATGTTGGTATAACACTTTGTTATAATTTTTTGTTTTTCTAATTCCACTAACTTTGGACGTTTTGGAGCAGAAATTTGGAGGGCATCCCTTTTGGTCGAATAACTTATGGAGGAGGGGATTGATGGTTACGAATTTCTGACTTCAGGAATTCTCTTTGGGTATTTGTTATTTCTAGTGTTCCAAGGCCGCTGCGGCTTGTTAGTGCGTTTATTATGAGTATGCTTGGATTACGTGTGAATTTAAACAAGAAGTTGAGACCTTGGATGCTCCAGATCCAGATCGGCCAAAGGCTACTTATTAAACATTTTTGCATATGGGCCCTAGAGGCAGTCGCATTTAGCCAGCGGTCTAGTAAAGACCCTCTTCTTGCTTTCTAGTTTGCTGTTCATCTAAAGGCATTATGCCGAAGAATACTAAACAGTAATATAGGAGAAGTGAAACGTGGGTTTTACAAAGTTGCATCTTTAGTGCATTTAACGTGGAGTTTTGTGTGCGAATTTATATATGTGAAACAGCTGTCTGTGTCTTGCCTGTTTCACTCTTAATAAGCTGCTTACATATTGTATGTTCCTTGTCGTCAGTTGCAAGCCGGCGGACGTACAGAATGGGATCAAGTGTGGTCCTGACCACAAAAGCTGAGGTCACATGTTTGTATGACACATACATATATATACGTTAAGTTGGAATTTGATGTTCTGGTGATAGGCAGCGACAGTGAAACAGCTGTGTCCGTCTGGCCTGTTGCAGTATTGGTAATCTGCTCATGTATTATATATGTACTATGCATCTGCTATCATAGGTTGGTCGACTTCGGCCTGGTAATTGGTTGCCTGTTCGTGACCTTTACCACCCATACGGAGCTTGTTTGCTTCGTGAAGCCAATAGATCGGTGTGCGCCCTTTCCTGATTGAATATATATACATATATATATATATATATATATATATATATTTATGATAGTGGGCGCTCACCGATCAGGTTGCGGAACATGCTCGTTCCGTTGCGCCTTGGGGCTCATACTTAAACCCTCGCAGGCAGTCGCACAGCGACTAGTGATATATGTTGGAAAGGTAATACCGACAAAGACAAGGGAGACCGGAATGGCCATTTCTGGCTTATTAGCC